GTGGCGGTGGCGGGTACTACCAGGATCTGTCTCGTACAAGAGAGGAGTCAGCCGTCCAGCTGCGGTTTCTCAAAGACCACCTGTGGCTGGACAGGGGCACCAGAGCGGTCTTTCTGGACTTTTCTGTCTACAATGGAAACATCAACCTCTTCTGCATCATCAGGTGAGACAACACATTCACACTACATGTCAAACATTTTCTGTTTGTGTTTGTGCATTTCTTCACTTTTGGAATTCATCAAGCGGGCCGTGGAGAACCCCGCAGTGGGCCGGTTTTGGTCCGCATGCCGTATGTTTGACACCCATACATTAAAGCATTTTTTTAAATACTTCACAACAGACTGTTGGCAGAGTTCCCTGCTACTGGTGGCGTGGTGACCTCCTGGCAGTTCCAGAGTGTGCGACTGGTGAGATATATTTCCAGCTGGGACTACTTTGTGGCCTTGTGCGAGGTGGCATTCTGCATATTTGTTCTGTACTACGTGGTGGAGGAGGTGCTGGAGATCCGCATCCACCGGCTGCATTACTTCAAGAACCTGTGGAACTGTCTGGATGTTCTCATTTTAGCAGTACGTATGACTGTTTCCATTCGGCACACTTCATGACATTTCATTTGTGGTTGAAATATATCGGTTGAGAATCCTGACCTCTGGCCTTTTTTCAGTTGAGCGTCACCGCCATTTTAATGAACATAGCCAGAACAGCCATGGTCGGCAGTCGGCTCAAAGGACTGTTGGAGAATGACAGATCTCACCCCAGTTTTGAGTCTTTGGCCAATCTGCAGGTCCAGTTCAACCACGTGGCTGCCGTCATTGTCTTCTTCTCCTGGTTCAAGGTAAAACAAAAATCATTTTCACAGCCACAGCACAGTAGAAAAGTAAAAACTTTCGCCTGTAAAAGTAACAGTATTTTTCCACATCACTTCAGCTTTTCAAGTTTATCAACTTCAACAAGACCATGAGTCAGCTGTCCAACACAATGTCCCGCTGTGCGAAGGACCTGGTGGGCTTCGCCATCATGTTTTTCATCATCTTCTTGGCGTATGCTCAGCTGGCCTACTTGGTATTTGGAACCCAAGTCAGCGATTTCAGCACCTTTCAAGCCAGCATGTAAGGACGCTAAACAGATATGAGATGTGAATTTGAGTTCTCACATGTGACTGTTGACGAGGTGTTTTTTTTTTTTACCGTCTGTGTAGTTATACGCAGTTCCGTATTATCCTGGGAGACTTTGAGTTCTCTGAGATTGTGGAGGCAAACTCAGTGCTGGGACCGATCTACTACACCACCTTCGTCTTCTTCATCTTTTTCATCCTCATGGTGAAAAGCCCTTTGTTCTGCCCTGTTCTGTTGGAGATTGTCTTTTTTTTTTTTCTTTTTCTTTTTGACAAATCTTGTCTTTCTATGGCTGTAGAACATGTTCCTGGCGATCATCAATGACACGTACACTGAGGTGAAGGACGACATGTCCCAGCAGAGGTCAGAGATGGAGATGACTGATCTCATCAAGAAGGTATTGATCAACATGTAACCAAAAAGATCATAGGAATATCAGGAACAATTTTTCTACTGACTGAAAAATGAGACAGATTTGATGTTAAATCTTTAGTTCAGTTTAGCCTAACTATTTTTATTCTCACTCTCTTTTCTCAGGGTTGCAACAAAGCTTTGATGAAGTTACGACTGAAGAAGACGACCGTGGATGAGATCTCTGACGGCACGCGCCAGGCTGCAGGCAAACTGAACTTTGATGAACTCCGTCAGGATCTAAAAGGGTGACCAGAACGTCTAACGGTGATAAAAATATTTTTTTGTATGTAGCACAAACTTTTTTTCTTTAACATTTTTGTGTCTCGTTCCTCCTACTCAGGAAGGGCCACACAGACGCAGAGATTCAGGCCATATTTGCCAAATATGATCATGATGGTGATCAGGAGCTGACGGAGCACGACCACCAGCAAATGAGGGACGATTTGGAGAAAGAGAGAGTGAGTGATGATGTCACAGTCTCGCCCTGTCATTGTGGCAAATCAAACTGTACTGTAGCAGCTGCAGATGCTCAGTGTGTTTCTGCTCGTATAGGAGGATTTGGATCTGGAACGCAATTCGTTGGCAAGACCCAGCAGTGGGCGGAGCTTCCCTCGTACCCAGGACGACTCCGAAGAGGACGATGATGAGGACAGTGGTCACAGCTCTCGCCGCCGTGGAAGCAGCTCGGGGGGTGTCTCCTACGAGGAGTTTCAAGTGTAAGAACAATGGGTGTGATCTCTGTTGGTCAGTAAACAGTTAGAAGAGAAACGTTTGGTTAAAAAAAAAAACTTTTGTGATTCCCTATTTCTCAGACTGGTGAGACGCGTGGACAGAATGGAACACTCGATTGGCAGCATTGTGTCCAAGATAGATGCTGTCATCGTGAAGCTTGAAACAATGGAGAGGACCAAGATTAAAAGAAGAGACGTTCTGAGCAGACTGCTGGACGGAGTCGTGGAGGTGAGACAGTCGTTAAAAGACATTGAAGTTGAAAGCTACTTTTTTTTCAGTGAAGTTTGATCAAAGGTTTTAGTTAGGGATGTCCGATATTAACTTTTTGCTGAAATCCGATATGCCGATGTTGTGCAAACACTTAATTGCAGATTCCAATATCAACCGAATTGAAATACTATTAAAGTTGAATTGTGCAATCAATCTCCTGATTATTAAAATAGATTAATAAAATGTGCTGCAATGCTGCCATCTAGTGACTTTAACTTTCATATACATCTGTTTTTTACCATAACAATTTTTAGGGCACATCATTTAAACCCAGGCATTATTGGGTTTTTATTATTAGAGAAAAAAACAGTAACAATAATTACACAATTATGCTAATATCAGGCCAATATTATTGGACATCCCTAGTCAGACAGCAAGAGGGTCTTAAAGGAGAAGTTCAGCCAGATTTCCAAACACCCCACAAGTGGCACCAAACTTAATCTTAAAGCTCAAAGGACCCTCTAACACGGTGTGGATCTGGAACGTCCTCACAATGACAGCATGTATTCATGTTCCCACCAGTATAAATGTGTGTCCGTCCAACAGGATGAGCGTTTGGGAAGGGAATCAGACGCCCACAGGGAACAGATGGAGAGGCTTGTTAGAGAGGAGCTGGAGCGCTGGGAGTCTGATGATATGGGTTCTCAGGTCAGTCACCCGCAGATGTCCACTGTCACCGGGCCCCGCCCTCGTCCTTCCTCCTCACTTTCCACAGAGGGCCTTGAATCCAGCCCAAACGGAGGTGGCCACATGTAATGTGTCCTGGTGCTCGCCAAAGAAAATTACACTTTGGCAAGAAAAAAAAAAAAACTCTATTGGAAATTCTCCTTCAACGGTACAAGAAGCCTATGATGCAAAAACAGTTTGTGTGGAACAAAATAATCATTGTTGAAGTTGTTTAAATTCCTTGACAAATTATAAATGAAGTGACAAGAACACAAACTTACCTCACCAGAGATACATTTGTACATAAATGCACTGAGAGTGTGAGGCTCTGCTGTGGGACAGACACCTGTGTTTGTTTACAGCTCATATGAAGGGTTTATATTTCAGTATTGAATCACAACATTGGACCAAATACACAGGCTGCAGTCATATTTATCTGTACTCCGAATACGCAGCATAAGATTTTTGTACTATATCGGAAATATGCTCACGTGCTTCTGATCACTGTATCCACACATTTAAGCTTATCAAGAAGAAAAAAGTCGGCAATGTAATGGTCTTCCTTCAGATGTTATTTTGGTTGATTTTGTTCCTTTAATCTTTTTAACATACACTAGGTCCAAGTGTGGCACTCTGTGTCATATGTACTCACACATCTGTGCATCAAATAAGCTTGTAATTGAATAGCTATCATTTTATGATACGTGATATGTAACTTGAAACAAACTTCAAATTTGGAGTGCCTCCGATGTTCATGGGAAACCCATGCAATTATATGTATGTCCTTTTTTCTGTCTTTCTTTTTTACGCCTTAAACACTTTTTAAAATCTTAACTGCCAATAAAAGTGTTATTAAAAGTTGAGTTTGTGTGGTTAATTTTGCTGGTTTTACATTTGAATCTGTGTGTGTCAATTGGTCTGAAAAATATAATTTATTTATTTTAAAAAAAGTATCTTGTCAATGTGTAGTGACTTTTTTAAAAAGTATCTTGTCAATGTGTAGTGACAGGCAGAACACTAGATGGCAGCAGAACGGCTATGAAAACTAAAAACAATTTGTGTCTTTCTTCAATTCCTGTGAGTATTTCAACAGTGTCTTCAACTAAACAGGCCTAGATAGTAAGTAATTGTAACTAAAAGATTATTATATTCATTACATATTTTATATTACACTTTTTGGAGATTTTTTGTTTGGCGTTGTGCCGTGGGTTTCTATCGAATGACAAATGTGTCATAGCTCAAAAATGGTCAAGAAACAGTAATTTAGAATATATGACTTTAGCGTCTTGTTACTATTTCATAGGGAACAATATGGAGGTATGATTTGGACCATTTTGTCAAGCTCTGGTGGTTTTGAATATTTAATTAATTTAAAAAAACGCTAACATAAATCCTGCTCTACAAATACAGGTATTATCATTTTATTTTCTTGAATCGAAATGTACGCCATTTGTCGTTTGTAAATGAGCAAAAAAAAATTATACAACAAACTACCTCATTAGTTAACAGATAAAAAAATCGCCTTATCAGTTCAGGAATACATTACACAAATGTTGAATTGTGTCCAGTCACAAAACGGTGCATTCAGAACTAAAGTTCTAGGTGAACTTCTTGATGTAACGCAGCTTCAGGTAGGAGATGGTGAAGAAAATGCTGGACATGAGGATCAGAGCCACGTGGTTCTGCCACAGTCCCCAGCTGCTGTAGTCCACCTCCAGGTACTGCAGGTGCTGCTCCCCTGTACATCTGCAGTTAGATGGAAACACCTAATGAGAACGGACACGTCCACCACTGTGTGTGTGTGTGTGTGTGTGTGTGTGTGGACTCACATCAGGTTGTTTGTGTTCACACTGCAGTCGGTCAGGTTCACGGACTTGTTGAAACCTTGAATCAAAGCCTCATCACAGAACTTCAAACCCACAAACTCATTCACATTCAAGGCCTGGATGGAGTTGAAAGAAATAAATCAATAAAAAAAAAAAATAAATTGGTTTAAAGACATATTCCAAAAAGTTACTGTAACACTGTTGTTGTTTGAAAGAATAAAAAAAAAAAAAAAATTTACTCAACATTATTTTTACTTCTACCTTGATACCTTCTATAATTTGACCTTGACACCAGTACTCATCCCAGTGTGTAGAGACAGTGGTGTTGATAAAGAGAAGGTTCTGGTCATGTGATAACTACCATCAAAGTCCCGGTGTCAGTACTTACTGCTGTTCCATATCGAGGAATACTCAGGTATTTCAGCCAAGCCAGCCAACTCACAACGCCGGGTAAGTAGACCAGGAGCCCTGAAAAAATCTGAATACACAAAACAATTACTAATACAGTTTTTTTATTGGTGCAACATTAGCAGACCAATCAAATGTCATATCACAGAACCAACACACACACACACAGACAATTCTCTATTAAAATAATAAAATAATCAAAGCAAATACTGCTATAGAAATGGAGTTGTATTTTGTGTGTACTGTATATGCACTGCGTATTGTTTGTTTCTCACCATCATTAAGATGAAGCAGAGGGTCATGTAGATCGTGGCCACGGCCACCACCGTCTGATTGGCTGAGATGGCCATGTTCATGGCTGAGGCGGTGCAGGTCATCAGGGTCACTGTCAGCACGAAGATCAGAAAGGCTGCTGTGGTGAATTTAAGGCCTGACACACACACACACACACACACACATCAAATTCAAAATCTCATTACAGGAACTTCAGTCCTTGCAGCTCGTGCGTTGCTCCCTGTGTCAGTCTTACCAATTACAAAATAGACAATGCAGCAGAAGATCGTAGAGGTGATGCTACGCAGAAGGATTTCAGCCAAGACCTTGGACAGGAAGTAGACCGATGCCCGGTAGTATCCACTGATGTACTCATGTCTATCAGGAGAAACAGAAAAAATATCAGACAACAGTGTAGTGTGTTTAATGAGTTCCTCTCTACAGATGTTTGTACACGTACACAAACAGTTTCCTCTCAGCTATGAAGAGCTCAGCAGAAGAAATGGTGGCAAAACACTGGTTGGTAGTGATGAAGAAGATCGCACCCATCCTGAAGGAAACAACAAGACAGGAAGTCGTTACAACACAGTCGTACGAACATGTCAGTACCAATACCAGGCTGCAGGTGACTGATGGACCACTGCACTCCACTGTGTGATCTGCAGTGACATACAGTTAAGCTGTGTTACCAAACCCCAGGCTCGGGGGCCGCTTTGTAGCAAGGTCAGTTTTAATTCTTGAAATTTTAAATGGCAGTTTAATTATTAATTATTAAAATAAAAACGAACTTTACACTCGGTCGATATTTAACTGCACTTGTGTTTAAGTTTAGCTTATTTCTCTTTGTCTCAAATCAAAAAGGAAAGAAGAGAAAATAACTTGAGACATTAAGCCATAAATTATTAAAATTTTAAATGGGAGTTTGAATATTACTTATTAAATAAACACTAACTTCACATTCGTCCGATATTTAACTGCACTCTTGTTTAAGTTTCGCTTCAGGCTAATTTAAGCTCTGATTTCCTCTTATTTGCCCCAAACCAAAAAGGAAAGAAAAGAAAATAACTTGAGACATTAAGCCATATCCCTGATGCATTGACCGTGAAATAATGACATTAGGTCTTTACACCCCACTAACCTTTGGAGAAGAAGAAGAAAGTGAAACAATTAACATTTAAGACCTTCTTGACAGAACTTGTGAGTACCAGGTTGTGACCAATAAAATACGGTAAGAGGATTAGCCTTAAAGGACTTGCTCCACTTTTCACACTTCCAACAAAAACTACCGAGCGTGTAGCATTGGTTTATATGGGCATCCCATAATATGTTAAAGATAAGTTATTAAATGCCTTCTATGTGCATGATAAGATTTTTTTTACTAGCGTTTGCTTATGTATGTATAAAGATAAAACACAAATTATTTTTTAATGTACACTTATTATTTATTATTATTATTTTATCACTTTATTACAGTTAATACTGGATGTGTAATTGAGCCTGTGGCTAGCTGCTAAGCTGGCGTAGAGTATATTGATGTGAATGTACTTTTGGGCTTGTGTTTTTGTTTGTTTGTGTTTTTTTTACCTGTTTTGGATTCCACTCTGGTCGTCTTTGACTCCAAAGAAAATGGCTCCGACAATAAGTGCTAGTAAAATGCTTATGGTCACCTGTGGAGACAAAAGTTAGAAAAGCTAAAGAGAATCTACTGACTGCAGGAAAACACCTCCTTCAGGCAATGACAACAACCAGACCATCATTAGAGCAGATGACAGAAGAGAAGTGAAAGCCTCACAAGTTTAAATCCTAACATTTTACACATCGTGACAGGACCAAGTGGTTCCCAGGGCGGAAAGAGGGGAGAAGTTAATAACGCAGAACCTTTTTACACCTCACTTCTCTTGGCCCCTCCTGAAAGAAGGCCAGTGGTCAAATAGGTCAGGATGTTGTCATGTGCTGATTACTGGAGCGGACCAAGAGCCCTCGGCTTGATATGATATCACTTTAGATTTTTGACCAAAGAGGCAAGATTGGGGTCACAGAAGTCACCAAAGCTGATTATGGCACCGACGCCTTATTGAGTCCCGTCTTTTAGGATTATTTAACTTATTTAGAGGTAATTAGCTGTTAATAATTCTTGAATTGACAAGACTTTTGATGGTATTTTTCTGTCATGGGTTAAAGGATGAGAGCATTAGGGTTCAAGTCTTTACGAATGTCTGTCTATGTAACCTCTAAAGAGCTTTCAGTTCCACTCTTATGTTCCTTAACCTGCCACGATTTGGGAAAAGTTTCACACCTGAATATCTGGTTATTGAAACCGGTCACAGACCAGAACTGTCTGTGACTGGACTGAGGAAGGTAAATATATATATATATATACATTAATGAAGGTATTGTATCTGGGTTTTGGAAAATACTAACCTCAGAAACGAAAGACTGTGGGTTTATGAGGATGTTCTTGAAGGTTCTTTTCAGTACCGAGTTCAGCTGTTGGCAGAAGGAACTGTTGTAGGGCGAGCGTGAGTGGGATTTCAAACACGATATAAACTCCTTTTTCTTCACGATACGTTCCAGGTCCACCTGTCTGTCACTGTAGTAGCTGCACCTGCGGTACTCCTCGATCAGATGCTCCTCAACGCTCTGCCTGGAGCCGCTGAGCTGCTGACCGTCTGACACCAACAGACACACAGAGAAGAACAGTGGTTCCTTTTTCAGTCTCACATCATTTTGATTCCATTTGTTGAGTTGGACTGTTTTGATATTCCAGTCAATAGTAATGAGAACATTTTCTTACCTTCAGAACATTGGTCTTTAGTCATGGCTGGTCCTATGTAATTTCCATGAATGACATCCAGAAAAAAGTCAGCTGGATTGTTGTGGGGCTCACAGCAGTAGCCTTAAATATAAAGGTTATTTTATTAAGGAGCTTCATAAAAATAATTTATAATTAGTGATGGAAAAAATGATGGAGGACTTTAAATGCCAATATAGAAACTAAATTACCAATGCTGGCAAAGTAGTCCAAAGCATTTTGAGCAGGACCGTGGTAAACCATGTTACCACTGACCAGCAGCGTCAGAGAATCAAAGAATCTGTAGATGGAGTACCGAGGCTGGTGGATGGACAGAATGATGGTTTTTCCATTATTGGCCATTCTGAAACAAGAAGGTATATTAGCAGCATGTGGTTTGTTGGTTCACTGTAGTCAAGACACAAACACACAAATTCAACAGACATCTCCTGCTGCTCTACCTCCTCAGTAACTCCAGAACAGAATTGGCAGTGGCGGCATCCAGTCCTGACGTTGGTTCATCCAGAAAGAGAACTGCTGGTTCATTTATGAGCTCCATGCCAATCATTGTTCTCTTCTTCTCTCCTCCGGAGATTCCCCTTATCATCTCTGTGCCCACCTGCAGAAACCACGCAGACACACAAGATCAGAGTAGGGTAGGGTATTAACCCTTCTTCGTAGGGTTTGTAGGGTTTTAACTGTGTAACTGAGACAGGTTGAACATGTGTGTGCATGGACCTTTGAGTCAGCCACATTAGTGAGTCCCAGTTCGTCAATGAGGAGACCGACTCGAGCCATCTTCTCACTCTGAGGCAGAGAGCTGGGCAACCTCAGGGCTGCAGAAAAACACAGGTTCTCCCTCACAGTCAGTGTGCCCATGATCACTTCTCCCTAACAGGAAGACAAGAGGTCCATGTCATTTGACTACAACTGTTGTAAATTATAAAAATTAGTACTGATGAATATAATATTATCGGTTAAAATGATGTACTTGGACCACATAGCCACAGAGATGCTTGAAGTTTTCAGGCTGTGGTGCACCATTAATGAGAACCTCTCCAGAGAGACCTGAAGGATCTTTTCTTGCAGCTAAAACATCTAAGAATCTGTGAAGGAGAAAACGTCACGTTATATGATGAAATACAGAGTTCCTGGATTTGTGTGTTGGAGTTAAATGCAGTACTCACGTGGATTTTCCACTCCCACTGGGCCCAAGGATTGCATTGATGCCAGGTTTCATGATCCCACTGCAAACATAGTTTGGTTCATGAATTATTTTATCATTTCCTGTTATTGTTATTTAGTGTAATTTATTATTATTTATCTTTTATGTATTTATTTAGTTAAAATTAATTTAAGTGTTACAATTTTATAAATTGTATTACACCACAAATGTAGTTAATAAGACAAAAATAAGAAGACAGAAGTTTTTAGTTTATTATTTGTGTTTTGTGAATAGATAAAAAAACCCAAATATTTTTCTTTGGAGTTGGAGAAAATTCTGAAGAATAACTTAAAGGCAGTGGTGGACTTCTGTGTCGGTCTAAACAGTATCAGAATCAGTTATTTATGTTTTAATATACTTATCATGAATATTTACAAAATAATACCCAATAATCTGTTGGCATTTTACATAGCTTTTCTCTTGGTTGCGCTACTTCCGGTCTTCCATGGTTATGCTGGACGGTTTTATCCAATCATATTATAACCACCATGCGTTGCTAGGGTAAAATACATCAGGGATAGTTTCTTTAACCAATCGGATGTTAAGTTGACGACACCAGGCCTTCTAACAGGTGTACTATGACGTTAGCGATTTGAGTCATTTGATTGGTTGGTCAAAGAACACTGTCTCGGAACTAGTTAAGTGTATCTAGCGACTTGTAAGCGCGAAAATTAACTTTTCTCGGCGTCTACTGCTGCTGTCGAGCGGACATTCTCAACTTAAACCGAATTAAAACACCTGCTGTAAACACGACAGGACAAACTGGGCCTTCAGTTTTAGCATGGATGAAAATAGAAGAGAAGTTGATGTTCGAACCGCAACGCACGGCTATCTGTACAACAGAGTAATCGAACTCTCTAGAAAAGAGAGGAAGGGTGGATTTTGTGTACAAATAATCAGAAGTTTTGGTGAGTAATCTGCAGTTTGCCTTTTTAATAATATTTGAATTTTATTATGTTATTATTTCTTCCTTATGTACAGTGTGTTAATGTGTTACGGGGGTGTGTTGCTTTAGTAATGGCGGTAATGGCTAATCTGTGTACGTGTTAATGTGTTACGGGGGTGTGTCGCTTTAGTAATGGCGGTAATGGCTAATCGAGGTATCTAAGAAGTAACGACTCATTATACTACATTTTGGCACAATATTGCCTCGAATTGAAATACACGGCGTGTCACTGTTGAAAGTTAAGACTAATCCTTATAGACCAAAGGAGTAACAATGCACTAAACTGAAGGTAGGACACTGACCTGAGCTGAAAGTTAAGACTATTCTTTATAGACCAAAGGAGTAACAATGTAAACTGAAGGTAGGACACTGACCTGAGATCAGCCAGGATCTTCTTAGTACTAGGGCTTTTCCATCTGAAGAGGTTGCTTTTCATCAGCACTTCGTACTGGATGTGGTGGAAGCTCAGGGTGGAGCCACATGTCAGCTTTTTATGGTTGATGGATGATCCATTGGTGCCAAACTCTTCAGCCATCGGGATGTTGATATGACCGGTTGTCTCCATTTGTCCTGTGTCAATACACATATATTATATATATATATTGTTTATTTATATTATTATGAAGAAGCTGGTGTTGAATTCCTAAAACGAAAAAAGGAAAGTTTGCGTGTAAGACCTATTAAGATTTTTTCATTTATTTTGCTTATTTACTGTATTTTGTAAATACATAAAAATGTTAACATAAAAGTCAAAAACTGCTCAAGATAAATTGTGTTGAAAACTTACAACAACAGATCCAAAAAAACTCCATTTACATCACATTCTAAGTTAATTATAAATTATTTATCTCCTATTAATTTGTTAATTTACTCATAACAGAAATGCAGGAAAAAGCTTTTTAAAAGTTTTTTTAAAAACTAAAGATTCATGGCTTCAGTGACTTACCGAGCAGTTAGAGGTGAGGAGGCTGCTGTAACAGGTCCTGCTGCAGAGATGAAGCCAACACACTGAGCAGAAAGACTAACATCAGCTCAGAGGACACAGTCAAAGATCACAGCGTTTTAACCCTTACCACTCCGTCACACAAATTACAACTATTCCTTTGGAGACGAAACACAATCAAAGCTGTGTTTTGGTCACAGGTTTGAATTATTGAAATCATGATTAAGGTTAGAATAATTCACACCACAATTAAAAACTAAACAATGGCAAAAACAACCTTTTGTCATGGAGTAAAGCAAAACTTCATTGACAAAAAAGGACTTAAATTACAACGTTAATAGCTCTTCATACATACGTTAACTGTTTTTTGAATGTTTGTGAGGACATTTCATGCACTTTCCTGGCCATTTATCAATAACTAGACATGAATAAGTGACAGACCCTAAACTATTCCTAATTCTTGAAACTCATGAATATCAAATACTATTTATTTTACTAAACATTAGTGCATAGTATAATGTGCCCTAACAATATTTCAACAAAGCAATCTGCATATGTACTGTAGTTAAACACACACACCAAAAGTTAAAAATTGTCACCAAAAATATTTTTGCCTTCTTCAAACCAACAATGCCGCCCCCGTGTGGTTCACCATTGATCTGCTCAAATCCTAGGTCTGTGGATGGGTAATGTTGAATTAATTTTCCTCACACCTGGACAATAAAAACTTGATTAGATCACAGCAGTGTCCGGTATGCAAGTCTCCACATATTATTTGTTGTAACTCTTAGTGCACATAAATGCCATGATTGAATTATTTTGTGTACATCTAATCTGTATGTATATCTATATCTGTTTTTTTGATGTCATTTAAAAATAATGTAACATCTATCTTATCCTTTACCATTTACTTTTCCTACATAAGGAAATAAAAAATGCCAGTTTTTCTTCACATCACTAATGTAATATAACCAACTGGAGTTATATAATTTTGTTGTCATATTTGTTTTAATGAAGTGTCACACAACATGAAAAAATACAGCAATATTATTGTACAAACAGTCACATTTGGGTCTTATTTCCAGGTCCACAGTAATAATGTTGTTGAATGATGTTGAAGATAAAATGGTGTGAAAATAAAATAGCAAGCGACTTAAACAGAGAAGAGGAGGTTTGTCGAGTAGATGTGTTAATTGTAAACACAGCCGTCAGACAACTTAAATAAACACTGGTAAATTGCGGGTAAATTGGTTGTAGGGAAGCGCTAACATCCACAGAAGAACTTCCACAGAAAATGTACACAGATAAATACAGATGTAGTATTAAAGCAACGAGTAAAGCTGCACTGTGGATTTAATTATTTAGTGATGGACATGTGCAGCCGATGTAGATCAGCCAAGACAACAGCTCTGCAGCTTCATTTCTCCTCCATCTAAAAAGAAAACGACTGCACTGTTTCTAGTCATGGAGGGCAAACATTCACAACGTCATACATGGCTCTGAGCTAACACAGTCACATGGTGCTGCATTAGGGTGTGCGTGTTTCTTTTTGGGTGACAGGTTATGCAGGAGCACTCAGGCAAAGGTCCACTTAGACTTAAAAAAAAGACAAGAGATAATGAAGCCAAGATATTGAATAAATGTAACACAATTCCCAAAATTCCATAAATAGAATTATTTACACAATAATCTACCCTTCTGTACTCATCACGCTTGGATGTGCACAGACAAGGCCAGTTTTTAATCACTGTCTTGAACACTTACACACGGCTTTTCCTGTCAAGTTCAGCCACTCGACTGCTGTTCATACGAACAGCATGAACAAGTTCCATTTACACAGTTCAGCAGATCATGTAACATTCAGGGAACTTCCTTTTACAAAACACACAACTGTGCAAATCACTGCGCTGTATGCTCGTAGTATTTCAAGTAAAAAAAATAATTAAAAAATGGTTTTGTGCGGAGTTGACAGGGAGAAGTACAGCTGAGGTTCTGTTATTGTTACAAGTGTTTTAGATTAAGCTACTTCAGTATTACGATACTTTAAACCACAACTTTGACAAAGGAAGCTCTATAGTTAGATAGTTTCTGAGAAGTTCATTGAGTAAAAGAAAATCTGATGCTGTGCCAAGTTAAAAAATTCCATGTACCCCAAGTTAAGCTCGAGTCAAATCAGACAACAAAAAGGTACAAATTTAGTGATATGAATCTTGACTTAAATTTGGACAAACGGCATGAACAGTGTATCATGTGTTAAATCTCACCTTACGTAGAACATATTTGTTAATGGACGAGGCTAACCAGCCACTAATAATACCTCAAATTCCCCTCACCTTCCAGGACATGTCAATGGCTTGCTAGAATTACGCCTTGCATAAAGTTTTTTTTTAAATCAGTGCAAATGAATGCTCCACCCTTTCCTCCCACGAGGCTGAATATGATCATGGTTCTACAGAGGACATTATATGACCCTCAAAATTATTATTTGGGTAAAGAACTAATCAGGACACTGATTGTATTGCACACGTTGACTGGGTCCATGGACCAACACGTTTCACTATCGACTACGCAAAGCGTCCACTGGACACAAAACTGCGACTGAAGGAGAAGCTGGAGTCCGAGTTCTTGAATTTTCCCCAAGCACCGAAAGGCACAATGATAATAGTGCTGTTGTCTTCTGTGCCGTACTGTGCAGCCTGAGGGAGAAAAACACTTAGCATTAAAATGGTCGTTTTTGTGATCATTGTTATTGTGTTCTATATATTGTAGAAACAAATGTATTTTTGCCAGCAGTGAGCTCCATTGTTCATGATTTGAAATGTTTTTTTGTTATTTTAAACAAAGAAAATCAGTTCCTAGACAACATTGTGTACCTGCTCTGATATTCTCTGGGCTGCCTCTCTGGGGTCGTTGCACTGATTGATTACATTACAAATTTCCTGGCTGTTCATAATGAAGTTAATGCCATCTGTGGTCAGAACCAGGAAGGCGTCGTGGACATGATGCAACTGTTAAAAAAATTTAAAAAATGATTTATTTTCACAATTTTGCATCTACATGATGGCAGACAGGCCAAAGCAGACCCTCCATGTTTTTGTTTAACCCACTGATATTCTTTTGGTCTCAGGCTCAGCGATGACCCCCATGTTCCTCAAGTCAAAGTCTCCGATACTGCGTGTCATCGCCAGCCTACCGTTGACGTTGGGCTGTCCCAGACTGTTCCAGGTGATGAAACCTCCACTCCTTTTAATCCTTCAGGCCAATGAAAATGCAGAGAGAAGAAATAATGAATTATTTCCAGCATTTTGTAGCCATTGTACAAGGAAATATTTAATTAAAATAAAGGTTAAAAAGTAATATAGTATTATATGTAATTTTTGCATTCATGTTCAATTAAGATACATTTTATTACAATGAAGAATTGAATGTTGATGTTCCTAAAATATGGAAGTCACTCCATATACAGATGTCTATTTATAAACACTGTTGTTGTTGTTCACATTGTGATTGTGTGTCACCTACCTCTCTTTCTCATCCTTCCTCTCAGGAGTGTGATCAACAGTGAGTTTGAGGGCCTTGCCCTTACGGCACAGCATGGCGCGACTGTCACCAACGCTAGCCACCACTAACTCAATGCCGTCCCTCAGCAAGGCAACAGTGGCCGTGGTTCCCGCAGTAATGCCTGGCACTAGGGAAGACATAACAGAAACCATCAGAGGTGAAACCCTACACAGCAGGTTAGCCAGATCACATTCTTAGCATTCACGTGGTGTTTTTCCACACTCTCACATCCGTACAGTTTAACATGAAGAGGTTTAAAGAAACATTTATAGAGTGCTTCATAAACAACAAAGTCAGTTATACATGCAGGTTAAAGCTTCAGTTAAAGGCTAAAGTTCTGAAGCAAATCAGTGTTGAAATAATTCAAACATATATATATATAAAACAACAGCTACATCACACAAATCTGATACAATTCAAGAAAAAAACAGGTTATGTTTATACGTAAATTGCACCTAAAAAAGCATTTCTTAACCGGTTTCTATAATAACAACTTAAGCAACATAACAAGGATAATCACAGTCGACAAATGCACTACATAACTCCGTGCTTTGAGGTTTGTCTTACAAAGAAAGCATCTTTGCATGTACATGGTGAGAGATGACAAACAGGAGAGCGAAAAGAGCTAGAAGAGTGAGAGAAAGAAAGGGAACCTTCCAGTAGTCCAGGATTTAGGACCCGCTGGACTCTCCTTCAATATCTAGCCTCTCGTCATCCACATTGGTGCCAAGGGCCTCCAGCTCTGAGCTGGGTCAGCAGCTGCCGTAGATAACATGCACACACACACACAGGCATATTGGGACATTTCACAGAGTGTGGCCACTACATAGCCACCAAACAGGTAAACTAGGTGTTTAGATTGCATCAAATAACATCAGTTACAACTAACTTCTCTTTGGGAAAGTCTAAGTCTAGTCTTAGTTTATTTTTACACAGGCAGACATGTACTGTAGATTGTGGCTCGTTATGATTCTGAACGATAAAAAGACAACCACATGAGTGACAATTAAAGGAAATCACAACATTAAGGGATTGTGGTTTTTACTGAGGCAACTGTAAGAGTCTTGGATTCAGACTATTATAATTGAATTGAATTTTGGAACATGTAGGTAATATCTTGGATTGAATCATGAAGGAATTTTGGAACATGTAGGTAATATCTTTTGTAATACAATTACAATAACATTTAAAATCTACTTGGATAGATTTATTCAGTGATTACAATGTACCGAGGCAAATTGAATACATTTCCGTTGTACGAAGACTACTTTGCAGAAGGCACTTGTTTTAAACACAGAAAAATAAATTATGTAATGCACTCATGCCAATTAATCTACTACTATAAATATACTTGTGGTTTTCCTTTAATTTGTCACCTGAATGTAACACTGAAGCATTCAGGCACTAGCTTACCTATTACAGCCAGTTTATAACCTGATAGTTACAAAGTCACCCAAGTTATATCACAGACCTGGAACCATTACTGCTCATGTTATAGTGGTTGACAAATCCAAAGTCTAAGACAGATTAGGGTTTTTAAAAGATGAAAAAAAAGTATCATCAGAGATATGTACATTAAACTCAAGTGTGTGTGTGTGTATATACAGTATATACACAAAAAATTAAATAACAAAACCTACCATCTGAAGAGATGTTCAAGTTCTTTGAAAGAGCTTTGTCCACCTCCAGAAAGGCCTTTGATAAAACCAGCTCCAGGTTCGATTCTTTAGCCACAAGATCCCTATCGAACCAAAAGGAAAGAAAACAGAAACTGTGTCGTCATCTTGACCTTGCTGTCTGAATAATCAGTTCAAACTTGTGATACAATCACTGGTTAAGAGTTCTTACTTGATGAACGCCTCCATGTATTTTTCACAATAATCAGCTGCTTCAGGTCCACCGTGCCCATCAAAAACAGCAAAGTAAAGAATATTATCAGTCATTTCTGAGACCTGGAAGCGGTCTTCATTTTCCTTACGTTGACCAATGAGAGAGGCGTGACCCACTCTGGACAAGCTCACTTTGGGAATTAATTTGCCGTATCGAATGCTGGAAGGCAGCAGGATTGGTTCGTCAATACGATTGTCCCAGATACCAAATGAGTCCCAGGTTGTAGGATGACCGCTGCTGTCTGGGTCAAAGCGGGTGCCACTTTGTCGCTGTTCTGATGGGCTGTATATTGGTCTCTGAACAATCGTGAACTGCGGGTTAATGTCCTTTTGCACCGAATGAGGGACTACGGCTGTTTGAAAGATACCATGGCGACCCACATAAGGACCACTGCACCTTGCCAGGCGCGCAAGACAAGCAGCTGACATCACCTTGACAGCAGGAACACTGGAGGAGTACCAAACACTGGAGGGCGGGACTTTTCTGACACTGAAAACAATATTTTTTTGATTAGCAACGTGTGGAGTAGTAATAAACGTAGAATACAAAAGTTGTTCCCAATGGCAAAAGTGTTAGTTGACCAAAATTCTAAAAAAAAAAAAAAAAAAGCAAGGAAAAAAGAACGTAAACAGAAGGAGACACTCAAGATAATATAAATGGACAAGTAATACATTTTAAACAGCAACTGGACTTTTGATTCAGATTTTTGAGGAGTTTCTGTTTTGCTATTAATCCAGGAGACTTTGTTTGTTCAGGCTATCTATCTGATTTGGAAAAAATGCAGAAGGACAACCAATAGTTAGTGTGTCTAATAATTGTCAATGTGTCAAGGAGGTCTACATGTCAAATTCTTGTGCAGAGATACCGTAAAACTACCACGCTTTACAAACATTTCCGTCAGAGGATCAATAACATAATTTCTGGTTTAGACCTTGACATTTGCACATGACGCTTCTCCAAGATCCTCACTAAAGGACAGTGATTATCGAACGTTGTCGCTTTATACCGTGGAATTCAAGCAGCCTGAATTCAGTACAAAAACCGTTGGTCAAAAAAGTTTTTCATGAAAAGAACAAGAAAAATAACTTTCATAATGTTAATTATCAACATGAATCCCCCAATAATACTTATTAACATTGAACTCAGAAAAACAGAAGAAAAGTAGCAATACAGTCACACAATACAACACACAAGCTCGACAATCTCTGTGACCAAACGATTCTAATTTAATAATAAGATTTACGTTGGATTTAGACGAATGACGCAACAGTCTGTCGCACAACTAACCGCTAATGCTAACAATACACTCAGTCCTGTTTCCAAAATAAACGCGAACGGGCCCTTACCGGTGTGACAAGGTTTTGCAAGACGTCGTAACTTTACTAATGCAACAAACGCATTAAACTTGAGTATTCTGATGTACGTTTTCGTTTACTGCTGATGTAAGAAACCATTATCCTTGGCTGGTTAGCCGTATTTGTGGCGGGCATAAGAGCCAGAGGTTTGCATATGCATGTCCCGATCTCGACATCTCGTATGACAGAATGTTCTCTCATACCTTGGTTCGTTTAGGTGAAATGCACGACAGGATTCTTGTATGACTTCTGGGATAACGTCGCTGCTAAAGATGAATTAAAATCCGCCGCCCCTCGTCTTTTTTTTTTTTTTCGTCTTCTCCACAATGTTATCAAACAAGACCTGTGATATCAGCGCAACCAACCAGCGACAGAAATGTTTACGCCTCCTTTGACGCCCCACAACACTTGGAGTTGATTCGTCGAACAAAGTATAATTGACAGCGGTTTGCACCAATCATGGTATCAGTAAACATTACTCGGTGTTACGCTTTGACTTCCCTTGGGCTTCTTTGATCTACAGTGACGTTGTTGCATCATATTCACGTTCTATGTGACCCCAAGCGGATCAAATAATTAAAATCCCATTCTATTTATATTACCATTTTTTTCTTGAAAAAAAAAGATATTTAATTCATTTATAATTTAACGGACGACCCCAAAGATGTGGCTCTAGGACTAAATGGCACATAAAGAAGTTTAATGTGGTCCATGGTTTCTTTTTTTCAAAGGTAATTTTGTAATTTCCATTGTCAGGGCATAAAATCGAGATTATAAGTGAAACTGTAACTCTGTAACTGAAACTGCACTCTTTTAACAATTTCTAGTGTAAATTCCACTCAGTTATCATTTGGTCATGTCCTCATCCACAGCTATGTGGATTAAGTGCTTAAGTGTTTTTCATTAAAATTAAATTAGTTACACTTGCATACAAATGTAACACAATAGCAAAGTATTACAAGTATCATGTATCAAATCACTTTTTTAAAATATGAGTTGCTTTACTTGCACCAATTGTTCCATAAATTATTTCGTATGACTGTGAAAAACAGAAACTCCAGAAACACGTTCAGTATGTTTTTTTGTGTTCCTGGGGCACTGAAATGTGCAAGTTTAGGTTTATTGTGCCTCTTCCTCTTCAGTCATGCGTGGTATAGTTCCGTGAGTACAGACCAATCGAAACCTTTGACGTAGAGTGACGTAACTGGAGAAGCTGTACTACTTCCGCGTTTGCTTTCTCAGCTGAACCTTGAAACCAGCAGACTCCCAAATTAACAATGCACCCACCCAGGTAACACCCAAGTCCGTTGTTTCGATTAAATCACGAAAACGTATGATACACCTTCAACTATTCTTTTCATTACCTACACATCAGTTTAATGCGGGTTTCAGTTTTAAGACTGGTCGCCAGCTTTGCTATCGCTTGCTAAGCTGTGGGGTTGGAGTTTTGGCGGTCGTTACTCCACCACGGATCCGTGAGTTAGCTTGTTTATCCAGATACTATTGTTGAAAGTATTGGGTTTCGACTGGCTTTAGCTCTAGTTACTAGCACGCCAATGAGTCGTTTATTTTGGTAGACTGATTCCGAGGAACCCAAAAAGAATTGCGGGGATTGAATCTCTCATGCATAGTTTCTTCAGTTTCGACTACAGTGTTCTTTAACAGTGGTTTCATTAGGATATTAACATCGCTGACAAAATACAAGATCATAACAACGACAACATATTTTAAGGCCTGTGGGGAAAAACACGTCCTTGCTTATCGTAGTAGAAGAACGGTAGAGTCATTTAGAGTGGCCTGAATGGACAGGCTGAGAAATAAGCAAATCAGATAAATGGTTGAGATTGAGCATTTTGGAAATATTGATTAAACAGACAGGATTGAGATTGTTTGTTTAGGCCTGTGTATGGGAGCAGTAGTGAGTACAATGGTCGGATGTTATTTGATACAGAGCTGTTAGGCAGGAAGGGGGTAAACAAACAAAAAAGACCACAAAGAAGATTCATAGATGTATTAAAGAAAAACATTGGTATAGCTGGTGTAGCTGTAGAGGAAAGCAAAGGATAGAGTGGGATGGAGATGATGTGGAAGATCAGAAGAGAAAATAACTGGTTTATCTGAGATTCTATTTACTTGTTCTGATGTTGTAGTACGTACTGCCTTTAGAATATTCTATATCTTAATGTTTTACAGTGGCATAGCTTGGATCTGAACTACATGGAATTAGACAGACAGGGTTTATTTAAACAGACAAATAACCACACCCAGTTGAATATGTCTTCACTTTATTTGTTTAAACATCACAGCAGTGCAGTGTTTAAACTCTCAGGGTTGATGTGTACCATTGTGATTTACCCCTATTTCTTATTTCCAGGGATGGAATTTACATGAAGAGGAAAAAGCAGTGGTGGTCTCCAGTCTAAAACTTGCCTTCCTCACCCAACTGTCCATCACACTGCCAACATGCTGTGTTGGGGTAATGCAAAAGATGGACAGTTGGGTATTGGTCCGGACAACAACCCTGTCTTTGAGCCGAGGAGCTGTCATGTGTTCAGTGGAAGGGGATTGAAAGAAATTGCTTGTGGAGGACAACACTCACTGTTCCTGTTGCATGATGGGAGTGTGTACACGTGTGGTTCTAACAGCTGTGGACAGCTGGGCCACAACAAACCAGGGATTCACCCGGGTAGGTTTACAGTCTGAGCAACATGACACTACGATCACTACTGTTTTCATGTTTCACAGCAGTGCTTCTGTTAGGTTTTAGAAGATTAGAAGTGAGAGATTAACTCTCATTTCAGTCGTCAGACATATTAGTGTCATAATGAGAATTGTAGTGAGCAACCATTCTTATGAATTTTGTGACTCACGCAGTGTTATGTTTGTGCTGGTATCATGTTGGTGGAAGGTTGTTCTGTGTATTACTTTATGACAGCATGTGAACTGAGTTGTGGAACAACCACATTTGTTAAAAACTTAAAAGTGAGAGAAGCACACCTTAAATTCCTTCGTACCCACACTCCATGCACTTGTCTGTACTTGTAAATGTCAACAAAGACGAAGGGCAAAAAGTCTTAAATATTGTTAAAGCCTAACTAGATCCCTCTCTTTGCACAGGACTGGTTGGAGCACTGGACACACAGAAAATAACAATGGTGTCAAGTGGCCGAGGTCATTCCGTGGCAGTAAATGAAGGCGGTCAAATCTTTGCCTGGGGGGCAGGTGAAGGCGGTCAACTCGGGCTAGGGTCGACAGAGGTTGCAGTTCGAATCCCAAGGTTGCTTTTTTGTGCAATGTACCAGAATGTTTTAGTCAGAAATATCAGATATATGTAATATAATATATGGGGTAGATTTATTGTTAAAGTCCCATGCACTCAAATAAACATGTTTATGAGCAAATTTGTATTGTAAATATAGTTGTACAAATGTTATTTTTATTCTCCACAAAAGGTTTTGCAGTGAACATTGAAGAGTGTAGCATTTTCTGCCTTTGTTGTCATCATTTTATAATGCAAAAATAATTTTATAATGTAATTTTTTTTTTAATTTTTCCCCGTTTGCCCAGGTTGGTTAAAAGACTGTGTGATCATCGCATCTCCCAGGTGAAGTGTGGAAACCAGCACTGCATCGCACTTTCCAGAGGTCTGACATTCATCTTTTATTTACACAATTTTCACACAATGACAAACAGATTTTTAAATGAATGTTTCATCAAATAGGCACACACACCATATGGTGTGGATGGAGAAGTATGGTAGAGAGATGGATGCTTTTAGTGTTAAGTTAATATGACATGGCTGCCTTTGACTGTTGTTCACTTAATAGTAACATGATCAGATCGCATGGATGGTGAACTCACCATTTAGTTTGTCAGATTTCATTTAGTGGATTTCTACGTGTCTGAGAGAAAAACCTACCTAGCTGCACACCTTACAAATGTTATAGTCAAACCCAGGGACACTTGTTGGTGTGGCACAGTTCTGCAGTTTGTCTCTGTTCCTCGCAGATGGTCAGTTGTTCACCTGGGGCCTGAACACCAGTGGTCAGCTGGGCCTGGGGAAAGGAGAGCCGAGCAAACTTTTCCCTCAGCCCCTGAAGTCTCTGGCAGGAATCCCCTTGGCGCAAATCACTGCTGGTGGGGACCACAGCTTTGCCCTCTCCCTGTCTGGAGCAGTGTTTGGTTGGGGCAAGAACAGAGCGGGGCAACTGGGTCTCAATGATAAACAAGGTAATCAATGAAGCTAGAAAAGTGACAAAGGTTAAAGTTTTTATCACAGAAGTGAAATACATTTTTAACACCATTTAATTATGTGAGTATAAGTAGTTTATATTATTTGGCAAAACATTACTATTTGTTACTGTCCATTTCAGTTTGGGTCTTGCGTCTCTTGTCATTGAGAGTCAGTGTTCAAAAAGTAAAACAATGTGGACTTACTTGTTTTTTGTTGTTTTTTTTTATCATCAGATCGTGCCGTTCCATGTCTCGTCAAATTTTTGAGATCTCAAAAGGTTGTTTACATCAGCTGTGGAGATGAACATACTGCAGCACTAACAAAGGTACATGACGTCAACCTTCTGACTACTGCATGTGCTGCATCCATCCAATGACACCTCTATATATATTTAGGTACAAATATACAATAACAATATATATGTATACTGTATGTGCATATATATACAGTATATATGCAGTCTATGGTGTCAACTAACTTACTTTAGGTTGAGACAAAATTTGTCTAAATCTGCAATAAAGACTTTTCTTATGTGACAGGACGGTGGTTTGTTTACATTTGGAGACGGATCGTGGGGTCAACTCGGTCACGGCTCCACCAATAATGAACTTTTACCCAGACGAGTGCTGGAGCTCATGGGCACTGAGGTGTCTCAGATCACCTGTGGCAGGTAGAGTCCATATTACGAATGACGGATTGAATGAATGGATTTGTTCTGAACATGAATTAATAAAATATATTTTCTCAATCTTTTGCACGTCAGGTACCACACATTGGCATATGTGCCTTCTTCGGGTGTGGTCTACGCCTTTGGCTGTAACAACTACGGTCAGCTCGGCACAGGAATATTCAGGGAAGCTATAAGCCCCTTCCCTGTGAAGACCAAATTACTGACCATTAGTTTCAACAGATCTGGTGAGTGCAGGCTGTACATGTTCAAACCTGGAAATGACTTTTCTGAAGAATTCTGTAAAATTTACAAAATGTAAACAAAGGTGTTATGTAGATTTCCAGTTTTTATCATTTATTTAAAAAAGCATTAAGGATTAATTTAAGAAAGAATGATAATGATGGTGAGAAAGCACTTTAATATTAGTGCGAATGAAACCAGATTTACTGTATTTCTATATTCCTGTTCATATGTGTGTTAATGATGTCTACCTTTTTTTCTTCAATAGAATTGAAACATTTCCTTGTGACCCGAATCATCTGTGGAGGAGACCACAGCTTCTTACTTTACTCTAATGAACAGGTATGTGTTTATGGTTAGTTTCAAGTTCAGTGTTTATGTTTAAAACTTCAGTTGCTATAATCCGACACAAGGTGGCGACATGTCATCGGTTTAATAACACCAAGAGGTTATAGCAACCTGCTGCAGATATTATTATGTAGAGTCATTTACAGCAGATATATTTAAATTTCAGATTTTTCTTCTTTATTTTATACAATTAATATCAACTCAATGTCTACTGAGTCATACTTTTGTGTCTTTTACCTCCCGTGTGCAGAGCTCAGCTCCTCCAGAAGACTTCAGAGAGATGAATATCTGTAGAAGTCTGTCTCCCATCAACAATGAAAGGTTAAACTCATGGAGGTTAAAACTGATGTACAACGCAGATTCCAGCATCACAAAGTAAGACACAAACATATGGTTTTACTTGTAGTTTAATTGTTGAATGTGATCACACTAATTTTATTTTATTTATTTTTTCTTATACTCAGTGACATCATAATTCAGCTTTCCTCCACGGCCTGCTGGAACGGCAGCTTCCTGGACCAAAGGTAATTATCTTTCACTTAATGACTGTTGCTTTGGCGTTTCAAAAGAGTAAATTATCTACTAGAATGAGGAACAAAGCGGAGGTTGTGATGTTTACCAACATTCACAGGTTGTGACAGTAAGTCTCCACTACATACGTGACCTCTGATGACATTTCTACAGATACCTACTCCTTTATTTTCACCGTGTGTTCTGCCAAAAACAGAACAGCATGTGAACTGTCTTTGTAGCTGGTCCAAGCAGGTGTGATCAATAGTACGATTTACTGGCAGCCAGTTTTTTCCTTAATTTTTTTCTGCACAGACAAAAGGGCTCATTGTATTTTGAAGTGATGAAAGTGAAGTGATGAAAATGTGCTTTTACATCTTATACTGTTTATTGTGTTATTTTATTATTATTATTATTGTTGTTTCAAATGCAGTTGCTCTACATAACCACCAGGGGGCCTTTCAACCCAACACCGAAATAAGATAAAAATAGATGAGCCTTATGTAACTTTAACATACCACATGGGTCAATGCACAGACAAATTTAAGCAAAGACTCCACGGGAACTTATTCAGCGGCGACATAACAGGCTCAAAGTGCTTTCATCGCCACATAAACTGTTCTCACACTGTGTGTCCTCTTATCTAACAAAACATGCTGATGGTCAGGGCTGCGAATGATTATACTGTCGCTGCTGCTGCTGCCGCCGCCGTCTGTGTGGTTGGTCACTCCTAATTTTCTGACCCTCAGTCATTGTGTCAACTTCAAACCCCTCAGCAGATACTTATCATGTTCTAGGATAAAGCGTGAAGAACATGAGGGTGGAAAATAAACATCCAGCTTCAACTAAAGAACTTAAAGTACAATAGACTGTGGAAAAGAAACTGCAGAATGTTTGACCTGTGAGTTGGAAGGTTAAAAAACGTATATATTTACATATATATATATATATATATATATATTTACTATTGCACTTAGTAAATGGAAATAATTCCAAAAATGTTATTTCCTAAAGTTTTCACTCTGTAGGAGCTCTGACAGTCTCCCAAGATGTTGTGGTTAATTGTCATTCATTTTCTAAATAAGGGGGGGGGTCAACATGTCCATCTTTGTCCATCTGTGTTCTTTTGTGCTCAACACGTATCCTCCATGATATCATACTTTATGTAATGTGTTGGTGTCATACCTTAATAAATAGTCACTGCCCTAAAGCTCAGGGCTTTTCGACGTCTCCCGGCGCTGACGGCACTGAGTGAAATACCCTCCAGCTGTGTGTCCGACAGAAACTAACAGTTGCTCATGTTCTGTGAAAAAGTAGCCCATGGACGGCTCTACGTTGAGCAACAATATGGGGATGAAGCAGATTGGTGTTTGATCCAAGGCAGTATAGAAGTCTGTGCTTTGTCCTATTTTCATCCTGTTACTGGCCGCTGAAAAAGCACAGATGGTCCACAGATAATCATGTTTGTTTGTTGCCATAGTGATGACATCCACTTCAAAACCAACCCAAAGATCCCAGGTATTGATCTCAACTCTGTCAGACTGCTGTTTGAGACACTCAGCAAACCTGCCTTCTCTGATCTTCTGGAGCAGGTACTGCTCGACACTCACCTACCTGTTGTATACGTATATATAGATATGTCAGTATGTATTTATATATATTATGTCACCAAGTCTTTATGTGTATTTTCATTCTTTAATACACCTATATTTATAGTTTTATGTTTGATTATTTGGTTTCAAACATGATGTCCATACATTTCTTTAGGCTACGAAGAGTTTCGAGAGTCTGCTGATCCCGCAGTTGTCACACTCTCCTCCGGACGTGGAGGCCATGAGGATCTACCTCATCTTGTCCGAGTGTCCGGCTCTGCACGAGTCCAAGAACTACATCCGCCTCACCATCCCTTTGGCCATGGCCATTCTGCGCCTGGACACCAACCCCAGCAAAGTCTTAGGTATCACACATAGGATTTCAAACACGAGAACATAACACTGAGAAAGTTCAGGTCATGTCAACAATGATGTTTTTTTTCTTAGACTTTTGTGCCAAAATAAAATCCCTTTGTAGTTTGTAAAAACAACAGCTATAAGTCTGGTGTCAGATTTTACAGATTAAGTTAGTTTAATTTACTTTTATTGCACATGTCTGGATTTATTTTAGTTTTAAACAAGCCGGACAATAATTCCTCTGACTACATCACTGCCCTGTTGCAGCTCCACACCTTACGCTGTGGTAAAAGGTCAGCAGGTCACATTCTGTTATTGTTGCAGGTTAGTTAGAGCTGTGGCTCCGAGGCGATGAAATGCGTTGCCACGGGAGCAGGTTAGTTAGAGCTGTAGCTCCGAGGCGATGAAATGCGTTGCCACAACATCCAGTCAGTTGTTGCTTTAAAAAAAAACAGCTAAAAATATTTTTATTTGAAGTTCAAACAAATTCATTCATTCATAAATCACCTGTTAAATGTGTTCTGTTAATAAACATGTCGTTTAAATAAATCTTCTCTTCTCTTCAATCCCAGACAACTGGTGGTGTTTTGTGGACAGCAGTGTGTTCACCAGGATGGTGGACATGTACAAGAGCATCGTGGTGTTTATGCTGACCGGAGGAAAGACGATCCTCGTACCAGTGTTTTATGAGAACTATTTACTTGCCGCTCTCAGGCTTCTGGAAAAACTCCACAAGGTACTGACAGAGGTCACCTGACCCCGGGACTTTGTTTTACTGTCTCCTAATGACCTTTGTTGTGTTTCCTGTGGTAACATTACATCATTGACACAGTTTTTATTTTGTCCTGCAGGTTAACATAAAGGCTCACCATGTGGAGTACAACTGCTTTTATATCCCAGACGTCACCAGCCTGGTGGACATCCAGGAAGACTACCTCAAATGGTTTCTGCGTAAAGCTGAAACTGTGAGTCCAACTGCTATTGTCCAACAAATGCACCGGGACATTTTACTCCAGTCGATTACATTTTCACAAAGACGCCATTAAAACATGATTTTTCTTTCTTCTGCTTTTTCAGAAAACGGAATCATCTCAGGTACTGGAATTTAAACCTGATCACAAAACACAACAAAAATCATAAAACACAAACCAATTTTTATCGTCACTATGTTTCGATGTTAACGTTGACGCTTCTAACAGAATGCAAAGTATTACTGAGAAATTTTCCCCCAATTCCCAAACATACAGTATTAAATATGTAGTATCTCTGTGTTCACTCTGCTCAGTATTCTGCACCATATTCGTTTGTTTTGCAAAAAGTACATTCACGCCGGCCAAAAAAAAAAGAATGTTTGTTTTGCAAAAATGCAAAAAGTACATTCACGACAGACAAAAAAAAGACATTTAGTTTTGAATTTTTGACATTTAGTTTTGACTTTTTGAGAGACAGTTTTCACAGTCCACCTCATTCTGCCTGCAGAGTGACTCTCCCTCAGTGAACCTATGTGCCTACCCGTTCATACTGAACGCCAAAGCCAAGACAACCATGCTGCAAACGGATGCTGAACTGCAAATGCAGGTATCTGCCGCTGTGGATGATGAAGACCAGGTGACTGGTGTTGAACTGATTAACATGACTTGTAACCCTCCTCTGCGTGTAACTGTTGCCCAGATGGCGGTGAGTGGTGCAAACCTACACAACGTCTTCATGCTGCTCACACTGGAGGCCCACCTGGCCAGGAACCCGTACCTGGTGCTGCACGTGCGCAGGAACCATTTAGTGAGTGACACGCTGCGTGAGCTGACCTCGTACTCTGATGTGGACCTGAAGAAACCGCTGAAGGTGAGACGTGTGGAGACGGACGGTCCATCGTGATTGAACCTCATCTGTGTTCTTAACCGTCTTCTTGTTCCGTCCTTCCTCCAGGTGATCTTCGATGAAGAGGAGGCTGTAGATGCAGGTGGGGTGACCAAAGAGTTCTTCCTCCTGCTGTTAAAGGAGCTGATGGATCCGGTCTATGGGATGTTCACTCATTATAAAGAGTCCAACCTTCTGTGGTTTTCAGACAAGGTCCGTCTCTATTTAAGTCTATTTAAGTCTTATTTTCTGCTGATTTATCACTTTTATATGTATGTTTGGATTTTGTGCTAAATGAACTCTGACATACCTAAAATATTCACTTCATATCTACTGTCATACATGTGAACATAACATAATCAGTTCCCTGGAGATTCCATTAGAATAGGCAATTAGCCAAAATATATAAAATAGTGTTGTATGTACAGTATATTTATCTAAATCTAAATATATAACTCCTTCAGACTGAGACATTTAACTTCAGCCAATCCTGCAGGAACAGCCACTGTTTCTGTCACAAACACATAGTTACTAAATGCCAGTGAACGCAGTGTGGTTTATTAAACACTGACCCTCATGGGGGAAGATTCAGTGAGTCATGAACATCATCATTTACCTCGAAACCGTTTCCTGTTGTTCATGTAACTGACCTACTTCACGTCCCCACTGTGTCACATTATCATTTTGTTAATTTCAACTGCAGTAGCAGTCCGGAAATAACTAAAAGTTTTGAAAAACAAGAAGTAGCTAAAAGTAGCTAATTGTGCGTTTTAGACTAGCTACTGCAGCTACTACCTAAAAGTAGCTAACTGTGAGTTTTAGACTAGCTACTGCAGCTACTACAGCTAATCGTGAGTATTAGAATAGGTGACACTGAGTTTTAAAGTCCAAAAAAGCAGCTTAAAAAGTCACCAAAAAGATTATAAATAAACTGCAGGTCACGTAAAATTAAAAAAGGTAAATTAAAGGTTGCTGAAAATCTGTCAGAATAGTTGACAGGCAGGCAGAATTTACTGAATGTTGGTGGAAATTATCACAAAAGGTTGGAAAAAAAAAATCTAGTCACCCCAAAAAAAAAGATTGAAAAAAAAAAATCTAGTCACCCCAAAAAAGCTAAAAGTTAGTAAAAAAAATGCTAAAAAATCTTAAATGTCACAAACATGCTGCAAAAAATAAACAATGTCACTTTAATAGCTAAAAGCTATTTAAAAAATAGTGAGTTCTAGCTCACAGTGATAGCTTTGATTTATATATTATTGTCTCAAAGCCTTTTCCATCTGTGTCTGCAGTGTTTTGTGGAGCAGGACTGGTTCCACCTGATTGGCATCATTTGTGGTCTGGCCATTTACAACTCCACGGTGGTCGACCTCCACTTCCCTCTGGCTCTTTACAAGAAGCTGCTCAATGTGTCACCGATGCTGGGCGACTTTAAGGAGCTCTCCCCCACCGAGGCCAGGTAACTGGGTCTTCATACGTCAAGGCCAGCTCACAGAGAGATTTTAAATCTCTGCTCTTTATTATTTAATCCTCTTGTCTAAGAATTCTAACAATGCTTCATTGTTGTTCTCCTTCATATGCACTGTTTTTTTTAAATTATCTTCCTCTGGGAAATGTCTTGTATCTGAACTGTACTCAGACTGGTGGATGTTTATATGAAAACATTGTGATGCCATTAGATACAGTTTAACACATCCCCCAAAACAAGGCATTATTAAAATATCAGTACAACAAATACTGAGCTTATTGTGACTGTTGTGGGCGACTGAGTCACTACAAGACGCAGACAAGACTCAGTGGAGGAATAATACAACTGTCTCCACTGTATTTGTAAATGCTAGAAACTGACCTTGGCCTAGAAACGCTAGTTGTATAATAAAAAAATTCAGAAAAATTCAGAATCCAGAGTCAGTTAGAGCATGACACTGAGAAAATGAAACTCTATTCACGTAGACTTGGTGAAGCATCTTCCACCTGATCCAGGAGAAGAAGCTCTACACAAAGACACCTGTATAAAAATTGAAGATTTTTTTTTAAAAACCTATTCTTCCGCTTACAAAAATAACATCACTTAATTTAGTTTTTTTACAACTTATTCCAAATGAAACATCAAAATGACAAGTTTTTAGTAGTTCTTTCTTTATTTTCCTTCTAATTTTCTTCTTCTCCTCCTGTAGGAGCCTGCAGCAGCTTCTCGACTTTGAGGGAGACGACGTGGAGGAGACGTTTTTTCTCAACTTTGCTGTGAGCATTAGTTTGTTTTCTGCAACTATAACGAAGGGCAACTCTTTTTGGTGTAACTCGTTCTTTGATGACTAGTAAAACAGTAATAAAAAAATTAAAAAAAAACTTTATAGTGGCTTTCAATAAAATCATATTTTCTATAAAGTTTTTGTTTTAAGTAAAAAAAAGTATCTGAGTTTTGTTGCTGAATTGTTGAAACAATGGAACTAATGATAGTTTATCAAAACTTTTATTTAAAGATTTTTTTATCTCCAGTGTCAGTCAGTTACTGTCGACCAGTAACTTAATCCCAGAATGTCAGCTGACTTTTTTGGTGAATTATAAATGATCTAAAGTCTTCTTTATTCTTTTATTTCAGATCACCAGGGAGAATTATGGTATGACAGAAGTGAAGGAGCTGATTCCTGGAGGAGAAGAGATAAGTGTGGACAAAGACAACAGGTGAGTCAGCGTCCCAGTTCATCAGCTCCAAAATTCAATTTTCCTTTCTACTGTTCGCTTAAAAAAAAAAAGAAACATTTTTAATCACTAAGATCGTTGTGTTCTGTTCCATCTGGCCGCTCGTGTCTTGTTGTTCCATCTGAAGGTCACACTCTTCATTACAAACCTAAAACCGAGGCAACACTCATCTGTGTTTTCTTCTCCTCCGTCACTGCCTTGCTTCCTGAGGCCGTCCTTGCTCCTGTAGACTGATAACAGTGTTGTGCAGAGGATTTGTTGTGTGTAGACCGCGGTGTCGCCACGTCTGGCTGCTGGTGCCGAACAGATGGCGAACGTGGCCGCGACTCGTGCTGTTCCTGTAAAAACTCCTCTGTACTCGCATATACAACTGTTGTAGACACAACCTCCAGTGATGTGGGCTCCTGCTGTGTGGGGCCCTGCTGTCTGCACTCATGTTTTAGGGTTCTGTTACTTCACTGTGTGTTCTGTGAAGCTGGACCGTGTGGTTTTAATAAGACGTGTACGAGATTTGTGGATTTAATCAGACGAATAATCGGAGAATTAAATCTTAAAAAACACCTTTAATGTCAGCTTTTTCCTAAAGTTTTTTAAAGAAGTAATTCTGAATCCTTAAAATCTTTTAAAACATCAGGGATCAAATGACAATTGAGCTCCATTCATTTTAGTCTGTGTAAAACAAATTATTAACCATAGTTTATTAAGACTTTAAAATTTAAAAAATTAGTTTGTGAAGTGCAATAATTTCAAAAGTTTACTATTTAACAATCTCAAAGTCCAGTATGTGTTTGTAGGAACTTTAACTTACAATTACATTGAATAATTAATTATCATTATTAATCAACAGCTACCCTGTTATTAAACAGAATATTCATTTAACCCGGACAAAAATGAAGTAACTTTCTCTGTTGGGATTAATAATTCCACACTACAATTTTTTTTTTTTAGATTTTAAAAAGTTTCTGCTCCTTCACAAATGTTGGACATTGGAACTGTATCTATAATCTTTGGCTAAAATGATAAATGTGTGGAAGATTACTTTACGAATGATGGTAAATATTTATATAAATATAAAGATGATGTTTTCAGTGCTGTAAAATTGCGCAGGTTATTTTTTCGTAATAGCAAATACAGCTGATGATTGTCGTCTTTTTTAAATGTGATCCTGTGTTTTCTCAGGCAGGACTTTGTGGACGCCTACCTGAGCTACGTGTTCTCCGACTCGGTGAGTGAACAGTATTCCGCCTTCTCCTCCGGTTTCCTGAAAGTGTGCGGCGGTGACGTCCTGTCGCTGTTCCAGCCTTCAGAGCTGATGGCCATGGTGGTGGGCAACACCAACTACAACTGGGAGGAGATGGAGAAGGTCGGTCACATCTGTTAATTAATCCTTTTTTATTTTTTTTCATGTGATGTTGGTATTTGAACTTGTTGGAGTCGTTAATTCACATTTTTTTCACTCTTTTTTTTTTTTATATATATTTTTTAGAATGCTGTCTACAAAGGTGAATACACAGCCACTCATCCAACAGTCAGATTGTTCTGGGAGGTTTTCCATGAGTTTCCTCTGGAGAAGAAGAAACAGTTTCTGTGTAAGTGCCTCGGTCTGGACTCGAACCTCGAACCATTTAGTCAGAATCAAAATGTGTTCTGTTTGAACTTCTTTCAAACAATTGTGCAGGAAATTTTAGGAAAGAGTTCCTGATTTTTAGTTTTTTAATGAACACTAATAGAAGAGGAGAAAATAGAGTCGTCAACTAAATCCAAATATTTGCGGTAATTCCTGCATTATTTTTTTGTTCCTCCATAAACAAAACCTGTGGATACAACCACTGGAGTTTTTTGTTTTGCTAAAATGCAAATATGATTTAGGAAAGTTACCAAAATAGAATAATTCCCTGTTGTACAAACCTGTGAATAGATCAGAGTAAAACATTATAGTCGTTGGACGGCTGTCATCTTTTTCCCAAAACATTGCAGATCAATGCATTTCCTCTTCGTGTCTGTCCCGTGTTCCCAGTGTTCCTGACGGGCAGCGACCGCATCCCCATCCACGGCATGGAGAGCCTGCGAATCATCATCCAGTCCACCACGGTGGGTGAACATTACCTGCCCGTGGCCCACACCTGCTACAACCTGCTGGACATGCCCCGCTACCAGAGCAAAGAGATCCTGCGCCATCGACTGACTCAGGCTGTGGAGCAGTACGAGGGCTTCAGCCTGGTCTGAGGACGGAGAGGTTCACACCTTAACAGCAATACACACCACACATATCAGTGGACACAAGCAGAGGTTTGAGTCTCTTACCTTGAATCAGCTGACAGGCGTTCGAAGCAGCTTGAATCTAAAGGTCTATTGATGTAAATGCAGAAGTATTTTCAGTTTGCACCGATGATGTCGACGTTTCGCAACCACGTCGCGACCGTTTTGTAGGAACAAAGAATTTGTTCTCAGTATTTAATATAATATTATTAACGAGGAAGGTTTGGACGGTGAATCAGAGGTCAAAGGTCGAAGCAGGTTGAGAAACTCTGACGTCTGTTGTCTGTCTTAATTTACTCTGTAAATATGTGTACAGTAAATTATACTTATTAAATATATTTTTCATTTTTTAAAGATTCAAGTAATTACTTTGAGATAAATCTCCTTTAGTTTAATTTATTACAATAAAACTATTATTTTTTGACAGACTAAATATGTATTTGTATATATACGCTATACATAAGTGCGTGCGTGCGTGCGAGCGAGCATGTGAGTGTAATTAGCACTTTGAATGTGGCTTGAGCTCAGTTTGTGAACCTGCAATAAACAGTGATGCCTTTTACAGCAGACAGTTCCATGTCCACACTAGAATGAATGACTTTCTGAGGTTTGTCGTTTCAAATAATTGCATTATTGTAGTAATACTGTTTTAATGTGTTCATTTTTAGAACCCACAACCACCTGTTGTTCCACATTCCTGTCAAACATTTCTTTTCTGTTCCAACATGTGTTGAAGTCCACATCCGTCCACATCCGTCCACATCCGTCCACATCCATCACCCCTGTCTCTCCAGTTTCCTGGGTCGGACTACAGGAGGAAACTGAACGTAGTAACTAGTAAGACATTTTTAATCCGATTAATCACAGGGTGGGTGACGATTAATCACGAGTAATCATGATTAACACCTAGTTTAATCACTTCTTAATCTTCAATCACCTTTTAACTGGTTAAAAGTTTGTTTGTTTTTTAAGCTAAACACGATTATAGTAACGACACAAAAAAAACTCCACAGCCCAGGGGTGAGTAAAAATATTATTTCATTTATCATATATACAAAATACAAATGCAATTTATGTACTAAAATGTACACGCTCAAAACTGAATAAGCTTTGCCAGTGTTTAAATTCAGTAAAAATGAAATTCACACTGATAATCATCCATTTTGGAGAAAGACAAGGGGGGAAGGGGAGGGGTGGGGGGATGAGTCCTCGCTCACAGAAATGTAAACATACACGGTGATCCGTATTTACAGAAGAAGAAAGGAAACTCCGGAAACGACAGTGAAGAAACACGGGCTGCTGGGAGAACAGTCACAGCGACCACGGCTCCGTCATCCAGAGCGTGAAGGACGTCAGGTCTGATCAGTGTGAGCACAAACACACCAGTGATTCCACCACAGATAAAATAGCTTATTTGACTTGAAAAGAGCAGAAACAGCTAAAATAAAATCATCATCATATTTACAGACGTATTCTAAGTTCGGTACCAGGACTTTCGTCCAACAACAGAAACACTGAGTGGTTTTGGTTCGTAGTGTTTTTGTGTTTGTGGTTTTAAATTTTTTTAAAAATCATTTAGTTTAGTGAGTAAATACTCATTATTTTTTTCAAACTTCTCATGAAGCAACAAACCCAACAATATCGTCACGATACAAAGTGTACAAATTCAAAAATAAAGACGTAGGATTAAGGAAATACTGTCCAACTGATCAAAGTTGTACCAACAGTAACGTCTCGTTTAGAAAAATACACAGAACCTCCATCATCAATCTATTTAAAAAATAGCAACAGCAAAGTATTGTGAATTATTTTGACTGCTATTTAATTCTTTTCTTTAAGACTTCTACAGTAAAGGCTACGTAAGTCAGAACTCTTCATGAAGACGCTCGGAAAGAGGGAAATAAATTATAGCACGAAAGAGTCGGGTCCGATCCGGGCTCGCTCCTCCTCCTGGCTGTCCTCGGTTCAGTTCCACCTCTGGTTGAGAGAAATGACACAGATGACTTGTGAAGTGTTGACTCAGTCGCGAGTGGTCGACTCTTCAGGCGTAAAAGAAAGAAAGAAAAGAAAAAAAAAGAAAAATGGCTGTGTTTGATGCGTCATTTTCCGAGTCGGTGGCATGAGCAGCACAGATGGCGACGGTCAGATTCTCTCTCTCTCACTCACTCCAGCTGGCCGAGATATTCATGAGTGAAAATACGACAACAGTCTGTCTTGAGTATCCTCAAATGAATTTGGTGGAGTCTCTTTTGCTGATGAGGACCTCCAGGAGCCGCAGCTTTGCTTTAATGTGCTTGTATTCGTTGTACTCCGCTGCTAACGGGGATCGATCTTCCTTCTGCACGTTTCTATGGCAACGAGATGTGGGCATAAGACAACATTTGTAAAAGAAAAAGGAGACTGTTGCGCTGTCATTCTCAGGTGATTTCCTTTACCTTCCATTTTGTCTGAAAAACTGGTCCTCAAACTCCTTCAGGTTTTTGCGGATTCTCTTCTTCTCCTCTCTGGCCTCCTGGAGTTGAATCAAAAGTTCCTGCCTGTGAGAGAAGGAACAAAATCACCATCATGATCAATAACAGCAGATGTATAATGAATAACCAATACATATAGATGTATATGTATATACGTATATGTACATATATGTATATATGTATGTATATGTACATATATATGTATACATATATACAAATGTATATGTATATATACATATACGTATATGTATATATGTACTGTATATGTACATATATACATAAATGTATATATGTTTTTGTTCAAATACTATTTTTGATGATGTGATTTCTAGGTGACCGTTCGTCCACAGACAGTGTCTTAATGTCCCCTTCTTTTGTCTGCTGACTTACATGGGAGCAGAGTGGAGGTTGGACAGCCTCATGTCTGTCGTGTGCTTGGATGGCGAGAGCTCGTCCACCGGGGAAATGAAACCGTCCTCGTCCAAGTGGTCCAGGAAGCCCAGCATGCTGAGGTCGGGGCGCACGGTGACCGTGAACTGTGTCTTTGAGTCTGCGTCGTCCTCAGAGCCGTCCTCCTCCTCCTGCAGGAGGACAATAGAAGGGTTAGTGATGAGACGAGTGCAGGTTCTGGACCAGTCCTCCGGGCTTTAATGCTTCAGTGCATCAGGGTCGAGCAGTGTTAGTCATCATCATCATCATCATCAGTAGTAGTTTAAATCATTACAGTACAGCAGCAAAAGTCACGTCATTGGTCCTGGACAGGGTTCTGGTCAGTACTCATTAGTACATAAATATTTGGATTTGATGAGTAGAGTGGTATGCAGTCCACTCAAAAATATTTAAAAAAAACAACCTGCAGTAATTTGGAACAGCCAGAAATATGGTTAAAAACACTGGGGGTCGTGATTCAGTCCTGCTGCACCTGTTATTAAAGCTATCACATCTGGAAAAAATCATCACAGTTCACTGCACCATGGGTCTTGTTTTTGAAGCTTTGACCTTCAGTTGGAGTCCAAACAGGTGGACCAGGTTAATTTATACTTAACTTGAATATATGTATACATGAAATTATATGAATTAAAACCAATTGAATTAAATATTTTTGTTTTTTTAGCACTAGTCCAGAAGTCTTTTTTATTTGTAATTGCAGCTGTACCATAATTACTGTAGCCAAAGGTGAAAAAAAAAAAACAAGACCCACGTTGATCAAACACCTACTTCTACATTCATTATTCAAACCTGCTACTGATTCAACGTCTCTACAGATGCTAGTGGCGAGAAACAGGTAGACACTCAATCAACGCTCAAGCAGCACTCAGGTTCATTAGAGGGAAATTGTAACAAAATGCCGGACAGTTTGATAAAGAGCAGGAGGCTGGCAGCTGGTCGTCAAAGCAACCGCAGCTCTTCACCTTTATATCATCGAAGAAGAGCGAGGTTTCACCCTCGATAATGGGCTGCAGGAGGGGCCCGCGGCGCTTGCTGGAGGGAGAGCCCTGTGGTGATGTTCGACAAGGAGGCGTTAAACCACGCTCTGGTGTTCACACAACTTTTCTCTAAGCACCGTCCTAGCATCATCGAGGTCCAACAGCAAGTTTCAATAACTAACCTGCTGCATTTGTACGTTCAAATGACAGTTACCGTAATTACCCTAAAAGAAAATCTGTCTAACTACTGTATTCTACTGTAGTTGGTAAACTACAGTAACAGGAAAAACACAGGTAAATTATAAAAATTAGTAATGTTTAACATATATTAATAATGTAAAAATACTGAATCATTACCTCAAATGTACAGAATAACCTGTGGTGGTGGCACTAGAATATTCTTTACATTATCTGACATAAGTTTATGCATGAAAATACACATATTTAAAAATGTAGCTCTTGTGCACTGCTGATATTATTTCACATCACAACTTCTACTTATTTTCCATTTTTCTGTAATCCTTCCTGACCTCTGGCTTTTCACTGATGTCATCCCCTAATGTGAACTATCTGTGCCACCTCTGAGCTTTTCTCATGAACAGATGATCCAGCACACACTAAATCTGGGCCCAGAGATTTAAGTAGACGCACAGCACATCTGTGAGGCCTGAGCCCGACCGGTTCCCACAGCGGGCGGCACAGGCCGCTATGAGCTGGGATTAAAACGTCTGCAGTGGCTTGGACAGAGGTATGACAGAGCAGCTGCTGGAAGGTCGAGAGAGAGAGAGAGAGACACTTACAATGACTGGGATGGTGGAGGCTCGGCACAGGATCTGCTTGACCAGGCGATATCTGTCGTACAGGGGCTTCATGATTTGTCTCTCATTTTTGGTGACCTGAAGTTTAAAAAAACAAACTGTAACATGTGATTGGACACATGCCTTTCACAGGACTACCTGTGTGTGGTATTACAGATCAATGTACTCTCAGTACTGATTGTAACTCACCGGTCGTCCGTGAATGCTCTCGTAGTACAGCAGCCCCTTCTGCAGGGCGACCTTCTCTGCTCCAATCTGCTCCCGCGTCATGTCCTGTCACAGAAGAGCGGGAGATTTCTCCTTTGATTAAACTGATTAAACAGTTACAACCACAGACTGTGTATAAGCATCAGGCCAGATGGGTTAAAAAAACAAAACAGTTTTTACCTTAATGTCCTCCGGGCGATTCACCTCCTCCCTCTTCTCTTGCAGCTTTTTCAGAATGGACTCCAGCGTGGCCTCCACCGACGGCTTCGGCACTTTCTCCTGCTGTGGTTTCTTGTCCAGCTGAGAGCCGAAGCTTTTGGGCAAAGTGTTGCTGCGCTGACGGGTCAGCGGAGGCAGGTCTTCCTCAGACTTCATCAGCTTGTGTTCTGTGTCAGGTAATGAAACGTGCATGAGTTTTATGAAATAACCTGGAACTGAACTATTATCACTCGCTCATTTTAAATCCCATGTTCTCACCTTTTAACTCTTTGCGGAGTCTGGCCAGTTCGTTAACCCACCTCAGCACCTCTGGGTTTGCAGCTTTGTCACTGTGCGAAGGCTGTGGGGGGGACGACATCAAACCGTTAAAAATGAAGCGTGAACGTAGACAGCTGTAAGAATCAACGACGGCTGTTATTTCTCACCCTGTATTTTCGCTCCTCTTCAAACCTTTCCTCAAACCTGTGGATCTTTTTCTTCAGGACGTGAATCCTCTTCGTGAGCTGAGGCGACGTCAGCTCCTTCTCCTCCTTCTCGTCGTCGTAGGAGCCCAGAGATGAACTTCGCCTGCGGCTGGAGACGGGGAGTAACGACGTTACAGTTACCTCAGGGTCAACCTTCACTCACTCTACACATGGAACCAGGACCAGACTGCGTACCTGATGAAGGAGTGAGCGTTTGGTGGCGAGGGCGGCACCTCGGTGTCGTCCAGGTACTGCTGGGACTGACCGTAGGCGTAGAAGCGCGGAGACACCATGGGGTCGCTGTCCTCCTCCAGCAGCTGACTGATGAGTCGCCCACCGACGTGAGGAGACAGTCGAGCTTCCTCGCGGTCCATGCTCTCCCTCTGCATCAATGAGTAAGCTGGGACGGGCTCTGAATAACACACACATACACACACACACACATTCAGTCTTCCATTTTTAAATACCAGACTCTGTATATGGAGCTAAAGTGCAGAAAAAGATCATTCTGCACACATTGATGATGTCACAGTTCTGGTGAGAAGCTGTTTAAATAAGACGTGAAATACAGCACAGGGCAGTGTCATGTTGTTGGCTATGCTAGTAGCAAAAGCTAAACATATCACATCTCTCTCTCTCTCTAAACCCTAAACAATTCAAGATCCAAATTTATTTGTGTTTTTTTTTCATCTATTATAGCACCCATTTACCATTTTAAATTGAACCTTTTGAACCCTGTTTTTTTCAAGTAAACAATTCAAGATCCAAATTTGTTTTTTTTTTTTACTTTTAGGTCCAAAGAAATAGTAATAGTAGTTACACAAAGAATTGTCCAAATACTTCTCTAAAGTCTTAACCAGTTTTGACAGGACATCATGTGGTAGTAAATATCTCTAAATGTGTTGAAGACATGGACATGGAAGCTTCCACTGAGGATCAACTGTCACAGATGTTCTGTTAAAACATGGCTCCTCTCCCGCTCTCTAGAGTTTACTCCCCTGGTTACAGTCTCACCTCTGGCAACAATTAGCCGGGTGTAAGTAGCCACGCAGATACCCCTGGCAATGCCCCAGCTATTAATAAAACTCTCTGTGGGATAATGTCAGCACTCGGAGCATGTTGAGAGGAGCAGTGACCAGTTTTTGATTTAGTTTCCCCTCTACATGGTCGGAGCTCACGTTGTTAACCTGAACGTGCAAATCCACGAAGCTCAGCAGGTGAAATAAGTAGGTCTGGAAAAGTGGAGAGCTGTGATATCAGGTGTGAGTGGGAAAATACTGTAGGACGCTCACATTTTGGAGACGAGAGGAGGAAGTCACACACACACAAAGACACACACTCAGGGAAACCAACCGCCAGTAAAAACACTCGCGGTGTCAGAGAGTAGCCGTGAAAACACGCACGCCCAGGCTCACACAGCACATGCATGTTTTCCTTAGCCGCCCTTAGCTGGAGAGTACGGGAAGCAGCGCGGCTCAGGTTCCAGTTGTGATTCCCTGAGGTGATCGTGCACTGTTTAGGTACGTGCAGTTTATCATGCGGTAGCTCTGTGACTTTGTTAAGCTCCCTCACAACAGCAGGTGACACCCTTAATCTTCCAGACTGTTGCTTTGAAATACAGTGTATTCTCCTGTTCAGACTGGACAGTTAATAAACACTGGAGCTTTGTGGCTTTGGAAATGAATCCTTTAAATCAGCTGCCTGGGATTAACTGGACCAATGAAACGGAGAACGAGACACTTTCTCTAAAGGTTGTTCTCTCTCTCTCTGTATGTGTGTGTGTGTGTGTCTAACAAGCACAGACGCAGTGTTTAAAACCACTCAAGCGTGTGTTGCCATGCAGAGGAAAAGGTCAGTCAGACAGACGTTCCTTCTTTCTTAATTTCTCTCCTCTTACTTTACTACCTTTCTTCCTTCCTTCCTTCGTCCTTTCCTGATTTCTTCGCATTTTGCTGCTTTTATTTTAGTTTTTCCCTCTTTCTGGCTTTACTTCCTTTTATCCTTTTATAGATAGAACTTTATTATAATCAGTTCTATTTCTCTTGCTTCCCTTTTTCTCCCTTTCCTAAACCTTCCTTCCTTCCTTCCTTCCTTCCTCTATGTCAGTGTTCAAAAACATTACTTACCCTCAGAATGACTTGGATTGAAAATGCATTTAAAATCAAGGGATGGTGAATTAGAAAATGCAGAATCTGGAGGTAGAGAAAAAAAAAACCAAAGAGACAAATAGAGAAAATGAGGAAAAAAAACTAAATCAACTATTGGACATTAAAACATCAGGACAAACATTTTTCATGATCACTATGACCCATGTTAGGAAAATCCAAACTGGCTCCACTGCCCTGGTTGTAGCCTGTGGCCACTTCAGTGGACACCAGCCCTTCATCTGTCTTGAATTTTGCTAACAACGTGTAAAAACAAATAAAAATCTTGTTCCTTCTACAGAAAGGCCTCCTGCTCGTGAGGAGTTACTGTACATGTGAAGGAGCTGTCACAGTGACACTGACTCCCTGAGGCGCTGCTGCTGCTGCTGCTGCTGCTGCTGCCGCCAAGGACACAGTGATGTATTGAGGACAGAGTGAACCAGAAGGAGGTCAAAGAGGAGTCAAAGACGGAGGATACATTGTCTTCTTGTAACGGTTTACAATTTCAAAAACACCCACGTCATTTTTCTTTCACACATTGTTAATGAAAATGACATCTAATTAGAGAGACACGTTGTCCTGGTGCGGCTGCTCCACAACACAACACCAACCACACCTCTGTGCACCAGCCTTCACCGTTTAAATGAAATATTTCAGCAGCTTATGTAACTTCCAGCAGTGACTCACAGACCTCACGTTTTTATTTCTACATTTAGCCACTAGAGAGCTCCACACATGCCTGCTACTGCTCCACATATGAGGCTGGTGAACTTGGAAAACATATCTGCCACATCAAACAGGAAACATGCATGTGGGTGGGAGTAAAGAGCAGAGAGAGAGAAAAAAAAAATCTGGCTTCTGCTACAACATGCACTTTAACTGTTATTGCACAAGAGTTTTAGCAGAATGTTTGGCTTTCACTGCTCCATGGAGACATTTCCACCCACTTCCTCTATGTGGAAATGTCACAATAAAAACACTTCAGCCAGAAGATTGCAAAAAAAAAAAAAAAAAAATGCCAGCACAGCAAAAAGAGAAATGTTTTGCTTTAAACTTCGGGAAAAAATGCAACGCTTTTACATCTAATACAGATGAATGAATGCATGAATTGAAAGGTGCATGTTTTGTTATTTGTTATTTGCATTTCTATTACACTGTGTGCAGAAAAACAAGGGCAGCAAATGAAAATGTCAACAATCAATCGGTGTGTGGAAAATACAGCACTAACCATGTGATACCAGGTGACACCGTTTAGTTATTTAAATGTAAAGTCTGTCTTAAGGTCCCAGTGTCCCCCTAGCGGCTGTTTACGCACATCCCCTGAGTCAAGCACCACTTCTTTATTTTGTCATTGTTCAAACAGGAGCCTAAGACGACCATTCACTGTCAACTGCTGTAGGAGCAGCAGAGGGAGTCACACAGAAGGAGGAGGAGGAAGAGGAGCAGAAGGTGCGGAGCTGTTTACCACAGACCATGTGCAGAGCTGGGTGGAGGACAGCTCTGCTGGACACGTGTGTGTGTGTGGTTGACGGCGATGAAAATACTGAAAACCCCGTATGTACAGTAATACTACTTCAACTGAGAACTACCTGTAGTGCAGTAGCCAGGATCGCAATGCGAACTTTGCAATACTTCACTGCGGTATTTCACACATGCATTCCGTTCATTGTTTACACTGCACGTAGTTAGGGATTAACTGGTTGCACGTTAATACAGTATGTATGTACAAGTTGTACTTTAAAAATCGGTTTAAGTATTGCTTATGTTTACTGTTTATTTTACCACCACACTATTCACTGCCCCGTGTTGAGGTGTATTAATGATTATTATTATTATTATTATTAAATAATCATCTTCCTCACTCACCTCCCCAGTTGTCCTCCTCCTCCTCCGTCAGCGCTGTCAGGTCCAGTCTAGGAACATCTTCACAGCTCGTCTTCTCACAGTCTGGATCCCGGACTTCTCCTCCTCCTCCTCCTCCGCCTCCACTGTCTCTCCCCGTGTCACAGGGAACAGGCGACTCCTGGATCTTCATCCCTAACGTCTGCACAACCATCACAAGGACAGAGTGTGAGTAAAAAGAACGCAGCTCTCGGTAATGATGACCAGCCCGTGACCACACTCTTTAAGTTAAGACGCACTCCCTCAGCCCGGGCCCTGCCCTTGCCAGAGGGGGCGGGGCGCCGCACGTGATTGGCTGCCTCGACTGACAAAAACATCCGCCCATCTGCCTGTGTCTCGTTAGTCCCGCCTCTGCCCCGCCTTCCCTCTGCCCCTCCCCCCCGCCCCCCATCCTTCCTTCCTTCTTCATACAGTAGTCTGCTATGTTTTTGACTGACGGTACATGAGCTCCCCGCCCTGCCGTCGTGCTGAACTTGACTTGTTTGTTCGGCAGCGGAGAGCAGAAGGTAGGCAGGGTGGGAGGAAGGGAGGAAGTGGGGGAGGAAAAGAACAAAAAACGCAGACGGATTGTGCGCCTTTACACGTAGACTGACTGGGTAAAATCTCTCTTCCCCCCCCAACGGCCACAACGTACACATTGTTCCAACCACAGCGTCCGCCAGTGAAGCACACTGTGTTTGGTAAAGTCTTAAGTTTGAAACTGGAAGTAGAATCCATTATTCACGTGGGAAAGTGTACTTTAAACATGCTAAAGCATAAATGTCGTACCAGAAGCATTGTAACACGCTGGAAAATCAAAACTGTTGAGGGATTGTTACGGTAAATGTTGTCCGCTACCTGTTATTGAATTTAATATCAGCTGCAAAATAATTTATTATAAAAAAACTGCTTGCGGCTACGTTTCAGTTTGAAATACCGTAATATTAATAGAACATTCTTTAAAACGGAACATTTAGCAAAACTAGTTCATAGATACATAGGAAATGTGAAAAACTGTGTAGAAAAATATAGTAAACAGTGTCACTTAATAATACACACCAATATTAATAACTATAGATAAAAATAATAATAATGACTGAGCTGAAACATGACATAATTTAACTAACAATTTCAAGTTTTTATTGTTTGAAATTCTTGCCCGTCGACCTGCTGCTGATCAAAGCTGTGTGACTGACTCCATTTTGGTACAGTGTTAATAGTTTGGCAGAAAAACACCCCACACACCACGATCACGTCTTTACAGCGTGTCCACGGCTCACTTAGCCCTGAGCCCCTGGGGTTCCATTTCCTGTCTGGGCGTGGGACCAGGCTATTTTTAGGAAAGAACAGATCAAGATGCCCGTCTACCAGAACTCCCAAACACCACAGAGCACTTACAGGAAGACGTGCTTTAATGTGGCTGATTTGATTGGTGTTGGAGTTAAACTGCTGCTGCTGTTGTTGTTGTTGTTGTTGTTGGGAGGCAGTTTAACTGTGTTTTCTTGCACTGAAGTAAACAAAAAAAAAAAAGGAGACGGGAATCGCAAAGGGTAGAAGGCGTGCAAAATGTCAACAACTAATTGTGGAAAATTCCTCTTAAGTAGCACCAGTTTATATCATCAAGAACATCCGGCACCAGCTCACTGTGTCAACAATCATTAGCCCCTTACTACTAATACTACTACATACTCACACATACTCACAATCCTTCACACAATAATATGATGGAATAACACATGGAGTGACATCATTCCTCAGACACAGTGAAAACACTGGTCGACTGGAGGTAAAAACACTGTTTTAAATGTAATTCTCACAGCTTCAGTTTTCATTTAAGTGAAATATTTAACAACAACAACATGTGTGAGTGTGAGGGAAACTGATCCAGAATCAGATTCATCTAATTGCCACCTTATTTCATACAGAGAGTGTCAGAGTCATGATCAGGTGACCAGACTGCAGTCATCACACTGATGACTTTTCAAACGATGATAGGTAAACAAAGGGCCGCTCATCTGTTGTTAATGTTTTTTTTTTTTTTAAATGTTAATGAGTCAATCAAAGTGATTAATCGATTAACATTCTATCCTATTGATTGCTGGCCTTAGATCGTTCATCGTTCATCCTGCCTGTTCATCAGAGGCTTTTAATGTGTTCTTCACTGGCGACTGATGCAGTAAAAAGGTTTCTGTCAGATATCAGTGGAGAAAACGATGTGTCATGATGTTAGGATTCTGTGTGTGTGTGTGTGTGTGTGGGGGGGGGGGGGGAGGGGAGCAGTCTCATGCATTCACACACACACACACCCTGGACATCAGCTGCTGACTATAATCAAACATTACATCATCATAAGAGCTCCAGCTGTTACCCCCCCCCCCCCCCCCCCGCCCGTCGTTTGTTTGGTTGTGGGGGTTGGGATG